ATCCCACCCCATCCCACCCCATCCCATTCCATCCCATTCCGTCACACCCATCACATCATCCGCCCATCCATCCATCCATCCATCCATCCATCCATCCATCCACCCATCCATCCATCCATCCATCCATCCATCCATCCATCCATCCATCCATCCATCCCTCCGTCCATCCATCTATTCATGCATCCTTGCATCCATGCATCTATGCATCCATCCGTCCATCCATCCATTCAGTCATCCATTTGGGCTACAGTAATCTTGCGTCCCTCGAACTGTGTTCAAGCATGGTAAGGTAGCACTCCAAAGTTTCAGGATACTCCCCCTAAACCAGGCATCCTCCCTGAGGCAGATATACACATGCATCGAGGCATGTATGCAGATATCGCTGAGCTGCTGCTGAGATTTCGACATGTCTTCAAGAACATGTTGTCTTGTCACTGATGCGGGATGGAGTGGAAGCGATGCCGCTGCTCGTGGCTGCGACGACGTTGCTGTGACAGTGATGCGTCTGAAATCAATGATGCGACCTAGGATGAACATGGCAATGCCGCTGGAGGAGACCTTGATGAGAGGGACAAGAAGCATTAACATCGTTGTCGTTTTTGGTGATGAACCTGTCATGCATTGCCGGCCACTGTTGGCAACACCATCGGCATTATCAAAGTTGCTGTTGCCAGTGCTGGTTTCATTCATGCTGCTGTCCGGCCACTGACAACTTTTAACTTCCCTGAACAGCCTGAACCGTTAACCCCATAGGCCCTATAAGCCCTGTAAACCTTGTCGCCATAGAAACGGTATCACTATAAGTCTACCCGTAACCCTAGAGCCCAATCTTACCCAATCTGCCCACCTCTGGCCGACCGTCTGTGGGAAGCAGAATGCTCCTGCCTTGTCATCGGACAGGCAGCTTTAGAGGTTTGTCTTCGAGGAGTTCGGGACTGCTGCCGGGCTGCTTAGGTTTGCTTTTGTCTTAGGGTTTATGGGGTTTGCGGTTTAGGATCCGGCATTTGAGTATGGAGGCTCGGGGTCCGAAGTTGGGCTAAGCAGCCAAGGGGCTTGGGTTTGAGGATTCGAGTTTCGGGCTTTAGCATGTAGGGACTTAGCTGCTGTGTTGAGGCTTAGGGCTTAGGGTATGGCCGCCATGCTGGTGTGGGATGACTCATTTTGCAAATGCAGGGTGTCGCAAGACCTTTTCCGGAATCCTTCTGGGGCTTTGCGCTCAGATGTTGGAGACACAGCTACCCCTTGCATCCGAGTCCTTCGCTACCCGCACATTTACGGCAGAGAAAAGATGGGAAGCCAACGCTGAGGGTTAAGCACCCAGTCCATCTTACCTCCATCCCTCAATCCCTACACCTCCAAATAATGCAACAGAATCAGGCCCAGACAAAGCAAAGATTCTCAGGAAGCTTGTCTGCAAACGGCAAACGGCACCAGGTGCCCTGCAAACGCAAAGTCGCCGCGTGTCCGGGTGCGAAGCGTCGCAGGTCAGCGGATACTGTCCTTGCGATGATGGGACAGCGATCACGAAGGTTTTTGTCATCACTACGGTGGCCGGTTGGTGCTTATACTTCCTTGCTGACTTCTGGACTGCTTGCGATTCTTCTAGTACTAATTACTACCACCTCCACGACCACAGCCACTCACGCCACCACTACGACGACGACTCCTCATGGCACACTTTGTTAACCCCATGGGTCCAAGTACCTAATAATCATACACTCTCCCAAATCCTAACCTACATAACTGCTATCCTATAATTATTGTGTCCTTTGGAGCCTTAGGGTTAATTGAGCCTGACGCTGGATTCACAACCACGATGAGGGTGCCTTAGGTGGTGAAGATAGTGGCCAGTCAGTTCAGGCGACCAGACGATCGGAACTGGCGTATGTTATTCGTGTTGTCAAGCACGAGGCAACATGCAAAAGTTTTTGTTCGGTCGCCTTATACTGAGGGGCGGGAGCACAAGGATGCAACTTTTTCTGAGGGTAAGGGTCAGATGGGCCCCAGACTCGTGTGATCCGAATGCTGCCCCTGAGAAATGCTACAGTCTGAAACCGCCAGCTAACGTCTTTCAACCCTCCGAAGAAACGAAGAGCCCTGAGCCAGCGGCGGAAGTTGGTGTTGTGGAGACACCGTCCCGATCGCGTGGTGAAGACTTCCTGCAGATCTGGCTGTTGGGTGTCGGATGAGTCAAGGGCAGAGCCCCCTAATCCCTAAATCCTAAACCTAAGCCGTAACTAAACCTAAACTTGCACTTTGGCCTGCGTCGGATTTGGCGAGGCCTTGCACACAAAGCATGGCGTGCAGATGCAGGAAGCCTATAGCTCATGGTCCAGGGTTGCCGCAGAAAGGAAAGGTAAGAAGGAACATGACCCTAACAACCGGAAGAGTTTATGGGGCGCAGCGTTTAGCAAGGTTTATGCCTCATTAAACTGGGGTTTGGCAGTCGGCGCACATCTCCTCTCAACGCTCCAACGATGCGAACAGGCCTCCTTCACCAATCTGTCATAGGGTCTCTGATATGGGTTCCTATAATCAGGATCCCATTTCAGGGCTCTATAGCTACATTGAAACTCTATAGCTACATTGAATCGGCCCCTAGATCTGAAACTCTTATCTTTGACAATACGAGCACCATCAAAACAAGGCACAACTTTTAGCCGAAATTTAGCCTGCCACTACCACGTGCAGGCCTTTACTTGCTGTCGCCACGTCGTGAAGTTGCCTCCCTGCATGCCGTCGCAACTCCTACACCCTAAACCGCTGAACCCTGAATCCTAAATCCTAACCCTAAAACACCTAAAACCCTAAAACCTAAACCCCTAAATCCTAAACCCCTAGACCCCTAAGCGCACACCTGAACCTCCTAGTCTGCAGCCCACAAGGCTGGGAGCACAAGTCCGCAAACCCGAAGCACTAACGGTAGGAACTTGATTAAGAAATCCTGGGTCTTTATCGGGGTTTAGGGTTTAGGGTTCTCTATATGAATCCTAATAAGGTTCCTACCATTAGCCCCCGAAAATCCAATACAAAGCTGTGTGTAAGGATCCGAACATCACATCTAATGCAGGGGCCTTAGCAATTAGAATAGGGTTTTGGGCTCCTTTCTATATAGTGCATTTGTTTGAAAAAAGGAGCCCTGAGGAATGTAATTATTTAGGCCCCTATATTCCACAGCTGGGATATCTACACAAATAGATGCACCTCCGAAAAGCGAAATTCAACCCTCAGCCGCTGCATAGGTGCCCACAGCCCCGAACCCGAACTAGAAGCCCTCAAGCAGCTCCCCCACCGCCCCCGTCGAAACCAAAAATGACATGCATCATAAGGATAACAATCGGGACGCTGTTTCCAAAATCAAAAGGGCTACAAGGACGCGGGGTATCCTAGACCTACATCTTTCCCCATAAGCTTTATAGCCTTAAGGCGCTGCAGCCCTAAGTCCTGAAACTCTTAACCTTAACTGTTTAGGGGTTTAGGGCTTAGGGTATTGAATCAGTACGTACCTTGAACCCTAACACCCTCTGTTGAAGCCCACATGAAACCTAACAGAACTCTACCAAGCAACTCACAAAACCCCTGCCCTCACAAAAACCCTTATATTCAAGCGCCTCTGGGACCAAAATGTTAAATCACCATCCTACAAGCTAGGTAGAGGGTTTAGGGTTTATGGTTTAGGGTCCATACTAAGGGTTTAGGGTTTAGGTCTTGGGTTTAGGGTATATAAGGTTTAGGGTTTAGGGTGTAACTATCATCAACTCGCTCATGGGACCCCTTATAAATCCCAGGTCCTGTGCGGGATGGTCCGACCCCTCGCCCGGCTCGCAAATCCTGAGCCGAATCTTGACGCGCTTCCTATATTTGGGGCGAGGGTTTGGGTGGAGTTGTTTTTGGTTTGAGCTTTGCGGTTTAGGGTTTAGGGAAGGGCTTTCATACATATACATATATATATATATAAATATGTGTGTGTGTGTGTGCCGTATTGGGGGTTCAGGGTTTCGACAGACGGTTCCTGGAAAGTTCCCCTAAGGCCCAGGTATAACGGTATATAACGGTATAACGGCTTAGGGCTCCGGGCTTCCGGTTTCGGATCTAGGAGACGAAGCACACTTCACCACAGCCGTCACGGTTTAGGGTTTAGGGTTGAGGGTTTAGGGTTTAGCACAACAGTGAGCAAGAACTGAAGCATCCCCCCTCTCCCGGAAACCCCACACACTTTTCGGAGGGGCTCAACACAGGCCTCCCAACTCCTTGCAGCCCTAGACTACGAGAACCCTATATCCTCAAAGAACATAATCTTAAGGAAGACTTCCAAGGCTCAAACGGTTTCGACTTTCGACCCATTGACGGTTTAAGGACCCTGGAACAGAGGAGTGAGACTGAGGCTTAAAGGGTTGTGGGTTGTAGGGATTCGGGTGAGCGAGTTTTTGGGGCTCAGCAGCTACAGGCTTCCGGGTATCTGGGGCCAGACTCGACCCTAAACCTCTATGAACCCTAACCCTAAACCCTTCCCCCTAAACCCTAAACCCTAAACCCTAAATCCCTATGTTGAGGAATCCAAAGCTCAAGGATTAAAGCCGGAGTCCTGCACCCCATGATGGCAGAGAGGGCGTCGCAACTGTTGATGAAGGGCAGGTCCTGCCACGGCTAGAGACTCCGAAACGCTCTAATCGAAGACAGCCGGTTACGTCATAAAGGGCCCACTAGCAATGGAAGTTGGAATTGTTGGATTTCGGGCTGGACCTAATATGGTGGGTCTCTGAAAACCTAGAATCAAGTCCGCAACAGTGGAACTTCGGACGCGTCCTCCGGGTTCCCTTTGTCCTAGTGATCCCCAATAGGCCCAGTAGAGCCACAACCAGAACCTGCGGCATTTTATGGTTCTCCCGAAGCACCACAACACCCGGGTTTTTTTTCTGAAGAGCAGCATGCTGTACTCGCAAAGTCCTCTGCAAAGGGGTTTAGGGTTCAGGTTTAGGGTTTAGGGTGCAGGGTTTAGAGTTTAGGGTTTAGGTTTAAGGTTTAGGGTTTAGGTTTAAGGTGTAGGGTTCAGGGCGACCTTGTGAGTTGTTCTAGACCTGTGGCCGGCCAAGGCCCTTATCGGACTTGGAGAGATCTACAAGTATGGAAAGATCTGCGCCTACCGGAAGTGACCACGTAGAGCCTTAGGGCAGAAGACCTCCGCTAACCCCAAGCCCTATATACCCTAAAGCCCTAAATTCTACTTCCAAGACATCGGCCTCGGCCAGGCAGCGTAACCCGCGATCCTCGCAGTAGCTGGAGCAAGAAGCGCCTGACACGATCCGGTTAATAGAGAGATCCTTAGTTTAAAGGAACCCTGTGAGAGGCTCATAAAGTTCGAAACAATCCCGGCTTAGCTGTTTTGGTGGCTGCTTTTAAAGCAAGAGCCAGAAAGTTGGAACATCAGTACTTGGTACCCATAAGGTAAAATAGAAGGGATCCTAGCACGAATCATCCTAAACCCATGTTCCAACTTTCTGGGGTTCGCTGCAGGGCCTTTTTGCCTCCGCCGGTCTGATAGGCCCTAAACCCTAAACCCCAAAGACCTCTGTTATGGGGGCGACTCAGTCGATCCGCTGCAGGGTTCACGGGTTTAGGGCTCAGGGGCTTCGGGTTCAGGGTTTAGGATTTAGGGCTTAGGGTTTAGGATTTAGGGCTTAGGGTCTAAGATTTAGGGTTTAGGGTAATAGGGTTTAGGATTTAGGGTTTTGGATTTCTGGTTTAAGGATATTTTAAAGGTGTTGTGTGTAGGAGTTGCGGTTTGAGGTTGAGGATGGAGAGCTCCTTTTGTTGGGAAGTTCCAGAACGCGCAAACCTACATTCCAAAGAGCCAACGGGAGAGCATAGGGTTTAGGGTTTAGGGTTTCTGATCAGGATGTTTGCCAGCTTCTGCGAAAGCGACGGCAGCAGAGTTGTCTTGTATTGCTCGCGAAGCACCCAGACTCCAGAGGCCCGGTCCCAGCAGCGGTAGCCCGAAACCCTAACAAGATATGGTCCGCGCGAGGCTGCCTGTAATACTATATAGGTGCGTGAAAAACTAGAATAGGGCTGTGGGGCCCAACCTACTAGAATTATGACAAGGAACCCCCAAATTAGTACTGGCAATTTATCTTAATCTGGTACCGTCACGCCGGACGTGACGGGTGAAAAAAAAAACTTCCGGCTTCACCGAGGTCTTGACATGGCACAGAGAAAGTCGCCGGACGCAGCGGTGGCGCCATCTTAACATCATTTTATCGCTGACCCCCTTCGACACTTTCAGCCATGATGTCCATACCCAACAACAAAAACTTACTAATACTATATGAACTGATACTATGATTCTTGTGGTGATTATGATCAGATATCATTATGATTCATTATCATTCTCATTTATATTATTGTTATTCTTCTTCTTCTCATTACCCTAAACCCTAAACCCTAAACCCTAAACCCATTATTATTATTACGTGCCTGGAAGCTCCGCGGCGGCAATCTCCGAGCCGGGAGCCGCCAGGATGGGCCGAGAAGCCTGGCTCGCTTTGTTTTTGGGGGCGTAGGCCTTTCGGGGTTTTAGGGTTTAGGGTTTAGGGTTTAGGGTTTAGGGTTTAGGGTTTAGCTTTCGGGGTTTTAGGGTTTTCGGCTGTTAGGGTATTAGGGTTCAGGGTTTCGGGTTTTGGGGTGCAGGGTCTGAGGTGTTGACCATCTGTTGTTGTGCCTCGCTGTCTTTTGAGGGGTGCTTTTTTGCCTGATTCTTTGCTGTTTGACTGTTGTTATACGCGTTTATGTTTCTTTCTTGTGGGGGAGAGGTGGGGTCTGTGTTATTACTGCTACTTCTAAACTCTGATCAGCTATTGCCATGTATGTGTCTGTTGTTTGCTTGTTTGAGGGGGGTGGGACTTTGTGATTGTACTGGGTTCACGGCGCTTTGCTTTTGTGCTATGCCTTGGAATATTGAGCCCTAGGGTTGTTCTAAAGTTTCTAAAGAGCCTCTTAAGGTACTGCAGGGGCCGGTTGTATTCAAGATGAGCTATTTGATTACACACTGCGAAGTGGCTGGCTTGAGAAGGACTACCCGTGCGATCTCGCACACCTCTCTTCACGCCAGGCTCTTGTTCAGGAAATCCTCCCCAAAAAGGCTTTGTGGGCGGCCAGCGGAAAAAGCCCCTTGGGGAAGCAGGTTTCAGGGACCGTCTGGCTATACATCCACACGCCCTTCAAGAAAGCGAGGTCCGCTATTTACTCTTGCTCTCCGAGAAGAGTCTTGGATGGCCAGCGACTCCACAAATGCTATACGATCATGTGGACAGGTCGTATGCAAGACTTTTTGCAGCACGCGCACGCGTCCGGGATGGCTGCGTCTCTTCCAGCAGCGTGTGGTTGAGGATTCGCCAAGCGAAATCCCGGCTGGCGAAAGCCCTTTGGTCGGATTTCCCGGCGTTTGGGTTCAAAACGACCAGGTCTTGGCCTCGGATGTGCAATAGTCGTGGGCATTGCTAGCCAAGGGAGGGGTAGGAGGCAGCTTAAAGGTTGTTGGTAGCAAGCTATCGAGTATATAGTGACATACTGACATACGAATAAATAAATGTGAAAGACGAAGGAGGACGGGGAAGAGAAGAAGCTGAAGAATTAAAAGAAGCAGCAGCCGCGGCAGCGATGGCAGAAGCAACAGTCGCAGCCACACTGCAAGCATTCCAAAGCAGACGGTATTAGTAAAAAAAGCGGCGGCTACGTTGTGGCAACACAAGCAACACTATGACTCGGGGAACACATCTCAGCATCTACGGCTTGCCTGAAACCTGCACCAACAGTCAGGTCTCAGGCCGGGACTACGCACTCTTGTTTGCGGTGCCTGAATGATAAGAACAAAGTGTTGGGCAAGACTTCACCAAAAGCAAGATCAATAGGGACTCCGAAGAAACAGTACAGTGTGCCGGTAGTTGGTTTAACAATTATTCGAGCAAGATTGCCAAGCAATCTTGCAAGCCTGGTCTCCAAAAGCTAGTCTAGTCGGCGAGCAAGTTGGGGGCAAGGGGGGGCCAGCAAGATTGCCAGAAATCTTGCAATCTTGCTCTCCAAAAGGTAAAGTAGTCGGCTGGCAAACAGGGCAAGGGGGGCAAGATGACCAAGATCGCCAAGATTGCTTGGCAATCTTGCTCCTCCCCGGCTCACATACCCGGCACATTGAAACGGTGTATTCAAGTGTCCACATTACCAAGTACCAAGAGACTCGAAAACTTTCATTTGAGTTGAGGAGTGTGCCCAGCCTTTCATATTAAGGATCGCTTGAGCCATGTAGTCTACATTCCTTGCTGGAAAGTCTTTGAAGTCTCTGGGTACATCCTTTTTTTGCTTTGGGATAACATGTTCTATTGCCAGGGCTCCAGAATACGCAACTGAGCTGACCTTTGGTTCGGAACGCATGTGAGGGCTGATGTAGTCCAGCCGGCTTTTAATCGCTTCACAGAGGCCGCTGCGAGACCCTAAACCCTAACCCCTAAACCCCTAAACTTAAACCCTAAACCCATCAACCCTACACCCTTAAACCCCTAAACCCATAAACCCTAAACCCATGAACCCTAAACCCCTAAACCCTCAGCCCCTAAACCCCTAAACCCTACACCCTTAAACCTCTAAGCCCTAAACCCCTGGAGTGCCAGGCCCTGCTCTGGCAACATCAGTGAGCTCCCGTAGCTGCGTCCTAGGGTTTAGGGTTTAGGGTGTAGGGTTTAGGGTCTAGGGTCTAGGGTCTAAGGTTTAGGGTTTAGGGTTTAGGGTTTAGGGTCTAAGGTTTAGGGTTTTGGGTTTAGGGTCCGGGTTTAGGGAACCCTAAACCCAAAAACCCAATGAGATCGATCCGAACAAGGCCTCGGCTGGTCGAAGTTTTAGTTCAGGGCTTGGGGCTTAGGGAACCCGAAGGAAGACCTTAAGCAGTTCCACTGCCCCAAACTCCAGGCCGGCTCGACCAGAGTGAAGAGCATGGGGTCGACGATTTGACCTATGCCCATGCTTGGGGATGTATGCTGCAGATGTCGGGATTGATACATGCTGCATGAAGGTTGTGTACTTTGAACACTACAGTAACCCCGAATCCCGTTAGTATCGTATCTGAGAGCGAATCCCCGACTTCGTATGCGCTACAATGGCTCCACTTGCTTGTAAAATCTGGGGTCTTGTCACGACCTGCTTCGTAAGGAGTACGGCAGGTGGGCTTTGCAGATCAGGACTTCGCATTTTTGAAGGGTTCAATAAGTGCAACAACGCTTCGACTCCACGAATCCAGCAGGCGCTTTACCACCATATTGCTGATGGTCAAGTAAGCCGGAGGGAATTGCAAGTATGATAGAATCTGATAGAAGTCCTTAACAAAACGCCAAGGGGTAATGGCATCTCAGAGTTCTCGGGTTGCCATCGAGTTGAAGATTGCAAGTCCCCTCATACGGCATCAGGCTGCCCAGATCGTGAAATCCAAAGCTTGAATCTGTTAGACATGAACCTTCATGGCTCGACCCTCGGTTTACGATTTAGGGTTTAGGGTGAAAGCCCAGACTCTAAACCCTGGAAGCCCCAAACCCCGCGCCACACCTGAAGCCCACACCCTTAAACCCGTATGGAAAGCCCTACAGAGCGGTTCTGCCAAGGGTTCGTCAACCATGGCCCTGCCGACGTGCTCAGGGTTCTGAATCGCCTCTGTTAGGATAACCGCTTGGGGCTCGATATCCTCTTCGTATGAGCCGATGTGCATTCATAGAAGCCTTGAGTGCATGAATGAAGAGCGTATACTTGACCATCGGCACCGGAGGGGTGATCCGCACGCTCGCCGCGGCATGCCACGGCCACGTCTGCGGAGATTTCCCACGCGAGACGCCCTCTCTGTCACCAGCACGGTGCCATGAGCGTCACTGAGGCCTCACATGGAGGTGAGCGTTTGTTTCGTCACGCACTTTCTCAAGCTGCGGTTGGCGCCATCAGACCACTGAAGCATTGCCAGCCATGCTGAACCCCTTGCCTCACAAGGTTCCTTACATAACACCCGTTTAGACGGCACCTAAACCCGAACCCCATGTTGAAGCTCTAAACCCCAAAAGCCCCAAACTCTAAACCCTCACAGAACCCCCTATAAGCCTTGTAAGAACACTTCCCCAAGCCCTACACTCAATGCCTGAACCCCATAGCTAAATTCTCCTGGACACCCTGCAAAATTCAAACTTTGGGTTTAGGGTAAAACGGTTTAGGGTTTAGGGGAAGCCGTACGCAAAATCCTGATAGACATCGAAGTCGAAACCCTGAAACCTAAACCCTGAGCCGCAACTAAAGTGCCCTAAACTCTAAAGCCGCAAGCCCCGTAGATCCCTTACATGTGCCTTCGCATAAAGAACACACGCGTAGAACTCCACAGCCCCATAGAACCCCAGTAACACCCTTACGGAACCGCTTGAAATACTCCTTATTCTAGCGCCCTTCTTAGTAAACAAAAAACTCCACAAACCCTATAGAACCCCAGTAACACCCTTACGGAAATGGGTGGGTGGGTGGGTGGGTGGGTGGGTGGGTGGGTGGGTGGGTGGGTGGGTGGGTGGGTGGAAAGTACTCGTTATTCTAGAGCATTTCTTAGTACAGAGCCCCCTCTAACTACCCTCTTCGGGTTTCTCGCTGGCCAACGGCGGCAACAGCGGGTCCAATCTCGCATCTTCCTCCTCGCCGAGCACCTCCTGCAACTCAAGGAAGCTTTTCCGGGGATCAAGAACCTGTAGGTCAAAACATTTTTGGGGGTTCCTTATTCTAGTTTCTCTATATATAAAGAAAAGTAGCTCTTCGAGTGTTCAAGAAGGCTTTATAACAGAGGTCCATTAGTGAGCTCCTGATGCACTGGCAATGGGGTTCTGCGGGATTGTTAACAGCCTTCGATAGGGTTTACACCTTGGGTCTAAAGGTAAAGTTTACGGTGGGGGTTTCAGGGTTACGGTTAAGGCTTAGGAGTTTAAGGCTTTGTGTCTGAGAGCTACTTAGACTCTCCATCCAATATAGCACCTTTCTACCTGGCTCTGCTTTGCATTACAACTTCCATGGGTGTTGGAGCTACTGATACTCTCCTATCTAATTATTTCTCCCTCTCTCTGCTTCTATTACGACCAAAGCAAGGAGTACTTGGTCAGCTTGCAACGCTGAGGGCCCCACCACAAAACCCGAACAACAACAACAACAACAACAACAACAACAACAACAACAACAACAAGAAGAGCTGCAGAGTATGATTTCAGGTGTAGGCTCAGACCCGACAGGTTGGATAGCCTTTTTGTTTTAGGTTCATGGTTTAGGGCTTTCCCAGAATTCAGCTGGGTTCCACTTTTCAGAGTAGAGCTTGGCTGTCAGATGCTGGATTTCGGGATGCTGGTGGAGGGCTTCTGGGCACTGCGTCTACCTGTGCTCTCCAATGTAGCTTCAGTACTTGGGTAGTTCTCTAAATTAGGGTCCCCTTTAATTTTTGGTCCCCAATATAGACGGCACCCTCACGAAAAGGACCCTGAAAGGGAGCCTAATTTAGAGGACCTAAATAAGAAACTGCATGTGGCATGTTGGTACAGCATGGCGATGACCATCGAAGGAATTGGCACTGGGGGAGTACTCTTATCACAAATCCTTATAACATATTTCCAACATTCTACTACTCTCTGAGGTTTGTACTGGCACCGATGAAACTCCCGCATCCGGAATTAAGAATCCAGAGGAAGCTGGCCAGCCCAGCGTCATGGGTTTACTCCAAGTGGTAGACACAGGGCTACAGTGGTCTTGCGGATCTTTTCGACCCCAATCTTTAGCGACATACAGGCTCCATAAACCCTAAACCCCAAACCCTAAACCCCAAATTCCTAAACCTCAAATTCCTAAACCCCAAACCCTAAACCCCAAATTCCTAAACCCCAAACCCTAAACCCTAAACCCTTCCATGCCTTTTTGAAAGCCGACCTCCGACACCCCGAACCCACGCAAGGTCTCCTCGCGCGTCTCGCCGCTCGCCAGGAGAGTGGAGGAGGGAACCAGAAAAATCACCTCTAGGGCTGTTGGGTTTAGGGTTTAGGGCTTAGGGGTTTAGGGTTTAGGGTTTATAAGGGGTTTAGGCTCGGGATGTAGCGCTGCGGTTTAGGGCATCAGGATGTCGGTTGATCATGAAAATTTAAGGCCAAGGTTCTTGATTGTGTGTTCGAGGGTGCTTCTGTTTATAGGTGCCGGGCTTAAGGGTCTGTATTCGGGTTTAGGGACGAGGGGTTCAAGGCTTCTTCTGATTTAACCGAATTTGCTGCCTAGGCTCAAAGTCTAGGAAGAGAGCCCCCGATCCTGATCTCTTCTCATCTTTTGGGTTTAGGGTTCGGGGTTTAGGGTTTAGGGTTTAGGGTTTAGGGTTTAGGGTTTAGGGTTTAGGGTTTAGGGTTCAGGGTTCAGGGTTCAGGTTCAGGGTTCAGGGTTTTAGGAAACCCTGAACTCCAGATTGCCAGCTAAGCGGCCGTGTCGCGCCAAGGAAGCCTGACGATGCCGTGATACCTGGCAGGGGCACTCGACACACAAAACGCTATAAGGGTCCCTTTAAAGGTTCCCTTAAGAGATGCCTTCAGGGTTTCTTTAAGAGATGCGTTAACGGTTCCTTTAAGAGATGGTTTGAGGGTTCCTTTAAAGGTTCCTTTAAGAGATGCTTTAAGGGCTCCTTTAGAGACTTTAGGGGTTCTATCAGGGTTCAATTCAAGTTGTAACAGGAACTAGGGTTTGGAATTAGGTCTCCGTGCAGTAAGGGTTTGGGGTTCCAGAATGTTTGATTGAAGTTTAGGGTTCTCTAAGGGTCTTATGAGGGTTCAGGGTTCAGGGTTTATGGACGCGCAACCTGAGCTCGAACTGCTAAGCCCAACAGACCTCGAGACAGAAATGCAGTTCAACCCTAAATCCGAGCTTGGGTTCAGGGCTTCGGGTGTTTCGGACACCGGAACCCAATCCAGATACAATCGACACTTGTGAATCTCTGCGATCGCCCGTCACGCTTATGCCGACGCACTGATGCTATGACAGTGCTGTGGTTGACCACAAGACCTGCGCAACCGAAACTTCTAACCACATGTTCGATGGTGGAAATGCGACGTAGACATCACGATTGTGCTAGTAGTTCGGCGCCATGGCGGTGATGATGCAGTCCGACCGTTATAGTACTTTTGCTTTACCGTGCACATACACCGCAGTAATGTTCATGTACCCATACACCATCCCTTGTTCCAACCCCTCTAGAACCCGGGACCCTACACTCCAAAGCCCTGCCAATGTAGCGGCCCTAACAGTTAGAATTAATAGGGTGTTGGGTGTTAGGGTATACTACTACTTCTGGGCTGAGTACCCTAGCCCCTAAAAGGGTTAACCTTTTGAACTATAATATAAGCCCCAGAAGGTTAAAGGCTACCTACTCAGCCTCTGAGACTAGAAAAAGGAACCTCAGAACCCTAAACCCTAAACCCTAAACCCTAAACCGTTTCCTTCGTTGCATGGGCGCACGCGGGCCGAGCTGGTGGCTCCGGCCAAAGGCCGAAGAACTGAGCCACTGCACGCCAGGCCCTGGGTTCAAGGCTTTGGGATTTCGGGGCTTTAGGGATTTCAGGGTTTAGGGTTTGGGGCTTCACGGGTTAGGGCTTAGGGTTTATAGTAATGTATATAGCGCTGTGGGGCATTCGGTGTGGGGTTCAAGGCTTTAAGGCTCGTTTTGCTGTCTTGTCCAGGGGTGTGGGCTTGGGATTTGCTGTACGTATTGTGTTGGGATCTGCAGTTTGGGGTTGGGAAGAGGAATCATTTAGGGAGTATGCTGGGACGAAGGCACTTAGCTAGTCCGTGCAGGGCTTTGCTAGTTGGACTCAACACCAAAACAAAAACAATACCCTTCCTGACACTTTCCTTGCGGAAGGAAACGGATCATGCTGACATGACAGTGATTGCAGCTGCAATCGGCACCGAGCGATGGATCAATTGGATCCCCAACGCCAGCCCAAAGCCGTAAACCCAAAAGCGTGCCCTGCATGTAATGTATGCTTGAGCCCAACAGTTACTACACAGGAACATTACACCTTTCAATGCCGACAAGTAAGTACATGTTGTATAGGTGAATGGCCCTCAGCGCCTTCAACCCTAATTACACGCCAGACCCCTTAACCCTAAACCACGAACCCTAAACTCCAGTTAACCCCCCAGCCCTAGAACCCTGAACCCTAAACCCTAAACTCTAGTAAACCCCTCAGCTCTAGAACCGAAAACCCTAAACTCTAGTCAACCCCTCAACCCTAGAACCCTAAACTCGAGTGATTGGGCTTCCCTGCGGATCCCCGTCTGTGTACTCCACGCTGCGATAGACCAAGCGGAAGGGACCGCCTCTGGAGGGTAAAATGTAGGGGTCTGAATAACTAGAATAGGGTTTTGGGCTCCTTTATAGTATAAATACGAGGAATAAGATCGGTAATTATTTCGGCTTCATGAGGCTTGTTGGGCCCAGAGACCTAACTAGATAAAGCTTCTGGGCTATTTGGAGCCTTAGGGTAGGCGAGGGGTTTAGGGCTCAGGGACCCGGTCAAGGGGTTTTCTCGGGTCTATAGGCGATACTGACGCTTTTTGGGCTTGAGGGTTGAAGGATCCAGTATAGGGTTCATAAAGTCTAGCCCCTAAACCCTCAACCCTAAACGCTATAGCTGGTAATTACGGTTTGGCTGGGGTTTAGAGATCCGGCTCAGGGTTGATATATCAGGACTTGGAGCTTTCGTCGGGGGCCGGTGAAATGTTAAGGGAGTCTTTGGAGATTTGTGCGAGCGAGGTCCAACGCGCTTCCTGCTACCCGCCAGCATCTGTTCTACTCTAACCCTACGGCTCAAAATAGCCCGAGAGCCTTGTATGGTATGGTCTTTGGACCCAAAAACCTTAGAATATGAGTCCTTAGAGCCTGCGGGTAAGGCCACCTTCAACCAGCAGAAACTCTTTTTGTTGCGTTGTCTCGCAGATTTCGAGATTCAGGTAGAAGTGGAGCCTACCAGAATCCCAATTAGCCCAGAAGGATGCCAGTGTAAGGCTCCCTGTAAAGGATTCTAGAACGTTCCTTATCTTTCTGGCTCTTAGCTAGTAGGGAATGGTGGCATGGGGTATAGGGACTAGCATCAAGGGCCTTATACGGGATCCATTGCCCCATTCCGTCTCAAAACCACAGAGTTCTAGAAGTTCACCGGGCTCCTTATGCTTCAGACTCCAAATACCCCCCAAACAGGAGCTGCTTGTAGACTGTAGACCTCAAAGTAGGTGCTGTAAGGGTTTAGGTTTAGGGGTTATAGGGTTTAAGCCCTAAGCCCTAAACCCCTAACCCCAACCCTAAACCCTAAACCCTGTACCTCCAAACTTGGTTCTTGGGGTTTGGAAGGCCTGAGGTGACCTTGCCCTCCAACAGCGTCTGCAAAGAGCTCAGGATCTTCGTGTGGAGCCTGGGCAATCGCTTAAAGGCCTTTATGCTCGACTCTTGCTAGACTGTACTACCGTGTCTTATCTTATCTTACGGTATCTCATCCTATCTTGTCTTACCTTATATTACGGGATAATTTCTGTACGATTGTTTCGGCATCCCTATCCCAAGACCCTCATTCCAAAAGACTCGTTCAATGTTTCCACTCAGTGGACAGGCTTTCGGGCCAGGAGGTCAGGCCGATTCAACCTGGGGTTCGGGGTTCAGGGCCTAGGGCCGCTTAGGGTTTAGGGCTGAGGGTTTAGGGCTTAAGGCCTAGGGATTGCTGTGTGGTTCAAGTAGGCTTTTAAGGACTAAACATAGGGGGGGAACAAATAACTACATGATTTTCCCCAATATGTTCAATTAGGATTTTAAGGTTTAGGGTTAATTAGTCAGGTGTGGCTCCCGAATCCACTTCAAACGTCCCTTCCTGCTTTGAACTGCCGGGTACACAAAACACACTCGATGCGTTCCAGGAAGCCGTCCAAGGGAGGTGCAGATTTCCCGAGGCGTAAGCCCAACATCGCATTCCTAATAAGTCTAAGTCGGCAGCCCAAACCTTTGCACCGCCAACCGTCAACCTAAAAGTGCTACCCCCAATATTCCCAAGCATCCGGATCCCTGCACCTTCAACCCGAACCCCAAACCCTGAACCCCCACGACGACATCGTCTCGGCCACCCTGACAACACAAATTTGCAGACGAGACACACGCCCTCGCCGGGCCAGTCGACCAGGAAGAGGCGCTGGTACCTGCTGCTGCTGCTGCTGCTGCTGCTGCTGCTACTACTACTACTACTACTACTACTACGACGATTACGATTATGAGCTATATTCTTCTTCTTCTTCTCATTGTCACTTAACATTACCATCATCTGCAATCACTCACAGGGTTGTGGCGAAGTATAGAAACCCATTCGGTAAGTAACATGACTTCTCAGTTCCCACGCTAGGGAAGCTTCCTGTTTTGGCCTATTATACTCTAATCTAGGATGATTTTGCATGAGGAACCCCCAGGACAATTTTCGAATTATTAAGGCTCCTATGTTAGATCGAAACACCAGTGAAAACAAGCGACCGAAGCTCAACAACCCGAAGCTTCAGCGTGCGCCAGCAAATACTACAGCAGCATTCCACACTTGCTTCCGGGTTATCATCGTTGGGCCCCCACTCAGCGCTACACCCCAACTAAAATCTATTGCCAATCCTAAACCCTAGCCTTAAAAAAATGAATCCTATCCCCTCCACCCCAAGCGCTCGAGTCCTTGAGACCCAGCCGGTTAAATGCTGTGGGGATACTATCACGAAGCATTGGGATCTCTACAGTCTACAGTAGGTTTCAGGATTTTGGATCAACATTGGAGGCCCTTCGGGTACTACTCAACCGGCGAGCCTCTTCTCCTCCAATCGCGACACGTCGCCCAAGTCCACCACGGCGAAGGAGCACCTTACATTTGACTTGCATGTCTCTTCGTATGATCCTATGACGATGACGATGATGGTGACGATTATGTAGCCGTGCAGTGTGACGACGGCGATGACGGTTCCGGACGAGGAAGCAGAGGATTGCTGGGGGCTAGTTGCTGGGGTGTCAAGACCTTCTCGGTGCCGCCGCCGACGTAATCGGACATGGGGTAATGCTTGAAATGCGGCCGCAAGGCTCTGTATAGAACATATCGGGAAAGCAACAAGCTCACAACAAATTAGGCTTTAGGGTTAGGTGTTCCGGCCTTTCGGAACCGTTGTATCACAGAGATCCCAGTTTCTAGTCCTGGCTTTTCGATTCTATATTTTGCAGTCCCAGAACTCTCTAAGACTCTCGATTGCCCAAAGGATTCCCGAGGCTGCCTGGCCTTTCTTTGGTCTCCTTATTTCGCTTTCCCACCCCTTTTTGGCTCAGTGGTCTTATGAAATGCCTTGCAGGTGCAAGTGCTCCAATTGTCCAATATAGGCGTCTAGATTTAAGGTTTTGTTTTGGTTTCATACATACTTTACAGTCGTTTAGGCTTAGGGCTTTATGGTTTTATGCGTACTGTACAATATCATAGGCTTGGGAGTGTTTATACATCTATGCCGCACAGTACAGAGAGCAAGCAGGAGGTACTGTCAGGCCCAGTGGAAATACTGTTCGAGAGCATGAACCCACATGGAGAGAGCCAAGTGAAAGGCAAGACATTCGGCCAACCGTGTTCGCCAGAGCCTCGTGGACTACTATAGGGGCCATAATTCCTTAGTGATCCTTATATATATATATATATATACTGATTACAATAGGGCTTTGGGATTACTATAGGAGCCTTATATCCTTGATGATCTTACAAGCGGGCTGTAGATTTGGCTTACAACCTTAGGAAGGAGCTCACCGGGCTGGACCGCTGGCTGAGGTGAGCACAGTGGATTCTGAATGAACATGTACGGTTGAAGCCTTGGCAAGTCGAACAGAGTGAAATATCTCGCTATGAAAGAAGATGCCTTCAATGATCATAAGAAGTCGGCTGCAGTTTAAGTCAGTGCATGAGTGTCTGCAGTTTCTGACTGGGCAGGAGCTGGAATCCTACAGTGTTGTTGAGATCAGTCTGCGGCCCTCTTCTGGGATTCAAAGGGCCTTCGATTCGGCACCGGTTTGGAGGGTTGGGGGTTGTTTCGGGTTTAAGGATTAGGACTTAGGGCTTAAGGCTTAGAGTTTAGGGGTTTTTGGTGCCAGCCCAGGTTTCAGCATAGTCGGAGGAGGGCGGAAGGGTTTGCTGAGATAGGATTGCATTGGCAAAGTGCCTGCATCATCCAGAAGAACACTTGGGAACTTCAAGCAGGCAAGCCTAAACATACGAACAAGAACCCTCAAGCCGCCAAGATTGAAGCATTCCATCAACAGCCCAAAACCTACAAGCCCTCAAGTAGTCTCCCCGTGCTTTCCTTTCAGGCATTGGGCTCCGACAAGCGGATGAAAGTCCGAAGTGACTCGCTGAGTCGTTGACTGCCCCTTGGGAGACACGCGCTGCTGAGCAGACCTCATTTTAGGGTTTAGGGTTTAGGGTTCATCACTACGGAAGCCAAAACCATCTCGTCTTGGGTGGGAGAGGTGGGTGTAATATCGGGCCCTTGCAGCAACATCAAAACAAGTACCAATTCAATTGCGCCATACACCCCCAAACCCTAAAGCATAAAACAAAAAACCCTGAACCCCTAAACCCTAAACTTAGGGCTTCCCAGGTTCTATGGAAGTTGTTCCCAGCTTGCTGGGTCAAGGTCCAGGAGTTGGCGTCTTCGTAGTTAGAGTTGAGTTTGTGTCTGCATCTGTATCTTATTGTCGTCTAAGTATACAGAGTCCCCCTGTATAGCATAGGTATATAGATAGAATTTCTGCTCAGAATATGGTCTAATGACGTAGAAGCTATACGTGAATATGATACCATTGCACTTTATTCAGGCCCAACAACATGAAGGACCAAGATCCAGAGGCCGAGGTGAACGACCAGAGAGCTCAGTGGCGGAGTTTTCCCAGAAACATACTAAGGAACATATTATACACATATCTGTTGGGCATTTACATACCTATCTGTTCACTACCTTCTTCATCAGCAGTACAGCGCGCTAAGCAACTATGTTGAGGGGTTAAGGTTTAGGGCTTAGGGTTTAAGGTTTAGGGTTTGGGGTTTAGGGTTTAGGGAGCTCATGCAACAGTGCAGCCCTCCTGGAGGCTCTATGTTCGGGTTTAGGGCTTTGGGTTGAAGGTTGTCCAACTCAAGTTTAGGGTTTAGGGCTAGGGCTAGGGTTTAAGGTTTAGGATTTAGGGCGTGTTTCAGATCAGGCTCCACAGGCCAGGAAGCGATGGGTGGCAAGCAGTTTTTGCTCAACGTATTATGTAATCCCATGATTCATGGCCCCCTGGACCCTTAAAGAAATGGCAAGTCCCAAGCCCGAAACACGCCAAACAGTCCGAGAGGCATCGTGCTCTGAATCGTTCCAAGGACGATCTGCGGGTCTGGCAGAACCTTGCAGGCAGCGTGTGTGGATCAAACACAGAAAATTCAAAACTAACATAATATACGGTGATCTGCTACAATATATTTTGATATAGTAAAATACAAAAAGGGAAATCTAGTATCGTAGATTGAATAACAGCTAAGGAAACCCAAATCTCCAACACTGCTGCTATGATTCTGGTTTGCTATGATCTTCAGTTGATGGCTTGGTGGCTTGGGACTTTGGGGTTTTGGGTCCGGGGTTTATGACTTATAGGGATTATAAGTGATTAGGACTGAGGGTTCCGAAAGTCTGGGTTTGTCTGAGCTTAGGGACAAGGCCAGCCGCAACCATCACAGCCCCAAAGGCTGGCGTGCACCCAAACAAACCATCCCGGACTGTGTAATCTATCTCTCGCAAGCCCAAAATAATCGTTCGACAGCCCCAATGTGGCATACATATTTTCCTGCGCAGCCTTCAACAAGAAACTACACCGCGAAAGAACTGAAGCCACAACCCAGAACAGCCCGCGAACAGCCTACAAGAACCCTTTTCAAGCCTAGGGCCGATGGCAAAACCATTAAAAAACCCATAAACCTCTGCGAGAAGAACGCCTTCAATCCCATGCAAACGCCCAGTCAAAAGCCAAGAATACAGACCCCAAGCAAGCCCCAGACGGCTGAAGCCCAGCTTAAGAACCCAGCCCTTTAAAACAACTGCAGAGGCCCGGACACGAGAGACCTCAGGCACCAGAAATTGCCGCCCCTGCCTCCGAGGTCGTCGTCTTGTTCAGATACGAAACACGCAAACAACACTAGCAAATACACACTGAACAAAACAGCTTATACTTACTGTGTAGATCTTTATATGTATACTACAAACAAAACGATAAATACATAAATGAATAAAACATAAAATATAAATGTATACATGTATCTACATATATGTGTAAATATATGTATATATATATATATATATGTACATATATATATATATGCATCCGTGATTTTTATTCTGTTCATTTGTTGCTCGGAACGCCTTTTTTGTTGTACTTCGGTTGTCTGTTGTGCTTGAAAGGCCTTCAAGCACCTAGAAGGTTTATAAGGCTCACAGCATTGGGCTGGCCAGATTGGGATGTGTCATACTCACAAGCTCTATATGTGGCTACGAGTGAAGCGTTTAAGGTTCTTTTCGCCCAGAAGGTTCCGCATGTTCCAGGATCGAGTGGTTTTGGTTGGTTTAAGCAGCTAAGCCCTAAACCCTAAACCCCTAAACCCCTAAAACCTAAACCCTAAACCCTAAGGACCACGAATTCCCTTAGCCCTCCATCCTGCCAGGCTATGCAGCGAAAAGCTCCCTGAACCCTGCAAGCTACGGCGCAACTGCTTCAAAACCCTGTGGATATATATATATATATAGAGAGAGAGAGAGAGAGAGAGTCCAAGGCCTGCCCTATTTGAGCAGACTAGATTCGACTTATTCTTTGCAATCCAAAAGCGAACCCTACTAGATACTGGTATGAACTTCTAGAGTCTAGAGATGTCCTAGTTGTCCTGCTTACTCCTCTAAGGCTAAAGGGTCGACGCTACACCAACGACCGCAAACCGTAGAAACCATGCCTCGGACGAGGATCACGGAACAGGCGCTGAAAGGGAAATCCGACGCGCCACACGGACAGGAGCTCCTGCCAGAGGAGGTTTGGGGTTTAGGGTAGAGGGTTTAGGGTTTCGGTTTAGGGCTTACCTATAGTCTCCATTGTAGTTCCCTTGTTGGTTTAACCAATCTTATATTAAGGATCCCAAAAGTAACCCAAAAAAGGAACTACAATGGAGACTATAGGTAAGGAACAGTTTCGGGCGTTAGGGCTTTTCTAGTCTGTCCGGGTTTGGAAGGCGGCACTGGGGTTCAGGATTCGAAGCATACAGCAGGGGTTGAGGGCTTAGGGCTTCAGGGGCCTGGATTCAACAGGGTCTCCTCATTTCGGGTCTGTCATCATCGCGGTGGACTTTCGAGCTGCTAATAAGCACTATCATCTCTCTATGAGCAGAGGGCTTCAAACCAACACCCAACGTGCTATTAGATGCCCTAAAGAGACCAAAAGGACATGCGGAAGTGTCCAAGAGTACTGCCTAAGCTGCCCAACAGGCCGCAAGTCCCACTGAGTCTTGCGCAACCCACAGAAAACTTCAATCCCACACGAATCAACCCATCCCTACAAAATTTGGCTTTGGTGCCGGTTTAGGATTTAGGGTTAAGAGTAGGTTGAAGTTCAAAACAATGACAACCCAGAAGCCACACAAAGCCTCAAACTCTCTCCACCGGTGAATGCAAGAAGGCACCGGGAACCCCGGGTTGAGGTGAGGGTTTAGGGTTTAGGGTTTAGGGCTTAGGGCTTAAGGTTCAGGGTTTAGGGTTTAGGGTTTAGGGTTTAGGGCTTAGGGTTTAAGGTTCAGGGTTTAGGGTTTAGGGTTTGGGTCGAGGCTT